GTTCGACTCCCGGTAGAGTAAAGGAGTTTTTCTGTCAGAGCTAACCTGAACAGTCCGTGGCGACAGCACTAGCCACTCTAATATAAAAACACAGGCGTTTTTAAATGCAACGTTGTGCCCAAACTTTAAAGCAATCGGTGAAGAATTTTAGGAGATTAACTATTAGTCACAAACATACATGTTACATTTTTAATTATATGGATTTCTTTACTTCGTTATCATGAACATCTGCCGTTAACTTTTCAAAAAACATACAATACCTTACGTACGGGCCGCATTAGCGCGTTCGATATGAGACTCGCTTTCAAAACCAGGTGCGACTCCCGGGGTTCACCCAGCCTTTAGGAAATGGGTACTAGAGTTAAAACTCTGGGGTAAATAGAGGAACGTCGCTGTAGCTACGGAGTTACGTCGGACGGCGACACAGGCGGACAGTTTCTTATCAGCTGTCCGTACTGGTGGCAGAGCACTTATGATTGATAATCGTGTCCAATGACGCTGGTTCACATCTCCTGACTTTACCTTTTTTTACCTTTTTTATAATCTCATAGGGCTGTTAAAATAAGTCTCTTATTTTGTAATTTATTTCTACTTCTGTGTTTGAATTTGGAAAGGTAATAGCATTTTTATTTACGTTTGTCTGAATGATACTTTTTTGGGGTACAACTATTAAATTCAATAAAACAGGTGCCGTCTCCACAGTGAAGGTTGGCAGCTATAGATCTCTATCACACTGTTCCTTGTTTTGGTAGCACATTCTCTGGGACTGATGTTCATTGTCCTCCCACTTGTACCATGATCTATCTAGTGCATTTTTGTCGTCGACTCTTCCTTCTAGTGGATATTTTTAAAATATAATAAATGTAGGTAAAATATTTCAGTAAATTTTGTTGTTGTTCTTTAAGTAGCTCTCTTTTCATGCACAGTTATTTCGTAGCCGTTTTATTTGATTGTTTATGTTTTTATTCTTTATCCACATCTCTGTAGACTCCGCTGGATTTTCTAGTCGGGGATTTAAAATAAGGTCTTAAACAGAACACTACGACATTCGATTACTGTCATGTATTATGTGTGTTCTTAATGTATAAATTAACGAATGGGGAAAACGGTTGGAAATACGATTGATGTATCATTGTCATGCGCCCCGTCCGCTAGCTAGAAGTTAATAGTGGTTCCATCATCTTATAGAATCACCAGAGTATAAAAATGGGGTTTCTTTCTCAAGGATGCTATTCGGCCAGGCCTACCGCGATTTTTTTTTATCTCACTTCCTTTTCCCGAACTCTTCTCCCATCTAGTCTACCAGTTGTAAAGTTTATTACCTGACATTAAGTCTACGTTTTTTATCACTACAGGATGTTACAAAATCTCTCCACGGGTGTTAGCTATTTATGGTTTTATTAGGCAATAATAATACGGACCGTTGTTTACCAACCCACCATTTAAAAATTCTTAAAATGACTTAAAATCTGACATCGAAATTCCCTAATCAATTACAGTTTAATTTGAATATATAACTGATTGCATAATTTGATTTTTTTGTTAAAAATCCACATTTGGTAGAGATAATCATTGCAGGAATAACAATGACTCGAACAGCAAGCAGTGAGAAGTAGAACCCTTTAGTCATTGTCATTTGATCTGTTTAGAAAATCGGTATCGGTAATTGACTCCCTCTATGGAGTTGAATATGACTGGCACCTTTCCGTCTTTCCAGACGATAGTGTAATAATTCCCTGTGAGGAGTTATAGGACTTACAGTCCATGGCGATAGCGAGAATAACTAGCAAGAAAAGTCTTCCACAATTATAGCATTGAACTTCAGGGCCGTTGTTTTCCAAATATGTGTGGTACTGTGTCTCTTCTTAGACACTCAGCTCTCATACTTTCTCCAATAATTTCTTCACTCATTCTCATTGCCTTCCTGATGTGCCCCTCCACACTTCACGGTACATGGCATTTTGTTCCCACGAGCCCACCTCATGAACAATTGAGTATAATATTAATCATAAAGTAGACTGGTACCCACCCTGGCTTTTGCCAGGGGCCGCACTATAGGCAGGCCATAAATATGGCCAATTGTCTGAAAGCGGTTTCTGGGACCTCTACACGGCGATCCTCATCCACATGGTGGCACTTTGTGTCATCAGGTGTTTATCGCTTGAGTAATGTCCTGGTGGGGTAGAAAGTCAGTCAGTCAGATTAGTACTGATTTCTGAAATGAAAAGTGGCCCTCTAAAGTGAAAATATATGGCCACCGCTCGTCTATAGTATTTTTTGAAAGCAGAGGTGGGACCCTAACTAAGATGTGAGGCATCTATTCAGGTCTCCACCAAGTCGTAGTGTCAAAACTTTGCTACGCCACGAGGTCCAGTCAGACTTTTAAAAATATAGACCTTTTATGTACGGCTTGCGCGAGACCTGAATTTTGTGAGTTTAGGTCGTGACGAAGCCAGACTGTCAAAAACGGCCTTGGCTCCCAGGTCGAAACAGCTTAAATAGAATACAGGTAAAATCATGGGAAGCTAAGGCGGCCGACGTGGTATCGACCGCACACACAATGAGTGCCAATCGATCTATAAAATATAGGTCTGATACGCGTGGAGGCTCCGAAAAAAAGGTCCTTTATGGGCAGGGAAGGAATTCGCACGGGTTCGGCCATCTAGCATTTGTCAATCTGTGACGCCTAGCTACACAAAGCAGATATTGACAAAAGAATGATCGGTGGAAAGCAACACTGATTAGCGTCTATTGCTTAAATCGCATCGAATGCTGTTTGGTAGGGGCAACTATAAGGCTATAACCATTTGTTTAGTATGTTTCAAAGTATGGTAGCATTTTGTTCCCCTAATTTTTTTTTTCTAATGACAATTTATTTACTTGTTGCTTGTGCGTGTCTAGTTCGTAGGATGACGAAATTGTTTGTTCAGGTTGGAGAATTCAATATAATAATAAGAATATAATAATAAAAGGATAATTTAAAAAATAACATAATTGCAGCTATTCACCTAATGTAATCTCTCTTTTAGAATTATGTGAACTAGATGATTTTAAAACCAGCTTCTAGTTTGTATAGGTATTAACGAATGTATTTTGAGAACTTTTAAAAAAATCCTTATTACCATTATTTTGTAACGTTTGTTTTTGTGTTTGTTTTGTTTTAGGACGGAGTAAGCCATGTGTCTTGGTCATAACATAGGATAAAGTAAATTTTTAAATATCTCATTAACGTCAGCTGTGCTTAAGCGATATTAGGTGATTATTACATTGTTATAGACCTATTCGCATTTCATAAATGATATGAGCAACACATCTACGGTCACACCTGCTTTTGAAATATCCATAACATAAGATTTGTAATTAAAGAGCTTTAAAATATTTGGCTAAGTACACGCAAGGAAATCAGTCACAATTCTGAAAGCATGCATCTTTCCTGTTGTAACAGCATTCCCGAAATAGGAGCTTTAAGTTATTATTATGACTATGTTATGTGCGCCATATAAAATGTCTTATTACTCGCTACCATACTGCTCTAAAAAGAACTCTCGCATTGTTGTTGCGATTACAGGAGACAGACTTAAATATTGTCCTAACAGGTGACGAAGTCGTCTACCTGAGAGCAAAAGTTCTTTGTCGTCCGTCTGTTGTCCAAGAAGAGTTAACAGAACCAAAACTAGTTTCAACACCTGGCGATGGTTGTGGGAAGAGGGCTGGTATGCAATATATATATATATATATATATATACATACATACATACACACACAAACACACACACACACATATGAACATATATGTACAATTGCATGTATGTATGCACACACACACACACACACACACACACACACTTACTGTTTTGCTGGTATTTATTTTGAAACCCCATTTATTCATTCAATAATAACATTATTGACTTCTGCTAAAAATATGTTTGTCGCCGTCTTCACTGACGTATCATCTCTAAATATCAAACAATCACCCGTAAACTGTGGCAGGCTTATTCTTGGATCTTTAATTAGCTCCTTAAGATCATTAAACAGGATTGAGAATATTGTCGGCGATAACACCGCACTTTGGGGGAAATCATTCTCGTAAATGTAAGTAAATATTTGATGTGTCACTGTCATTGATCACTAAGAAATGTTTAAACCTTAAAAGGTCTGACCTTCAAAGAAGACTTTCTCGTAACAAGATATTGTTCTGGAAACTGAAATCATTTTGTCATATCAAGCATGACAGTGGATTGTAAAGAGTACTGGCAGAAGTCATAGCACCTCTTAAAAGGGGCAGCGGCCGACTGAAACGAAAAAAGGGCACAAGCTATGGAAGACACCCTGGGTATAAGTGCATGAGGCAAGACAGCTGGCTAGGGACCGAGCTTCTCTCAAGAGGGCAACGTTTTGTTAAGAACGTGAAATGTGATGATGATGAAAATACGTGAAATAAGTTTAAAAAAAATAAAGCTGTTTTGCACTAGGGACGCATCGGTAACCCGATACTAGACCCGCACTTTGTAGATCATTCTGCACTGGTTGGGTCATGTAGTCAGCATATTGCCGACCGCCTTTACATCCCAAGACATTACCTAGTACCCATTTTGAAATGGGCTTACTTGAGAGCCACGATCAGTTATGACAAAAATTTAACCTAAGACCTTCGGGCATGCGGCTAGCCTCTACGCCACCACGGCTGTCAAAACAATATGGTACTTGGTTAATTCGGTCAGAATCAACATTGTTAAACACAGGTCTTTCCCATGTGCTTTCTATGGCCTCAGTCTGAGAAAACAGAACAGACTTACTGTCCCCTTACAAACATGTTGTAAGAGGCAACTAATTATGGTTTTGCTGGAATCGAATGTCTTTGGCCTAACAGTCTAGCTGCTGACAACAACAACATAACGCCATAACCTCACTTTCACTGGCGGACGCAGCCCAAGAAGAGGATACACACTCCCATCATGCCCACACAAGATCATAGTATTTATCATTACAGCACTACGTACCTGATAGGCGTCAAAGTGATCACGGAACCGAGCAAAATGCCCGTGTCTGTGATGACTAGTCCTCTCAGGTAGAGTATTGTAGTTGAGTGCATTTCTCTCCTCCACAAGACGATGATAGTCAAAATATTGCCAACTAATCCAATAGAAGCAATGAGGGGTAGGATTGTACCCCATAGAATAAAGAGTGCTAGGTGTGAGTCTTCGCTGTTTTGCTCACTGTATGTTGGGTCCTCAAAAGTGGTATTCACCTCGCTGACGATAGACATTGCGATGTCTTAGGATAATAGCTCTTTAAAAACACCAGACACGCAATATGTAGATAGTACGATTTTCCGAAGACAAAGCACTGCAGCCTACATTTGTATGGTCATAAATTTCCATCTAAGTGTTCATTTTGTCTTTCGAAGTATGTACCCATGTCTCTGAATTTCTTGCAGTGATAGGCAGCAACGTTTTGTAAATTATATCACAAAACCCAAGTATATTTTCGTAGACTATTCCAGGACTTGAAGGTGCATGTGTGTAAACTAATCCACAAGAAATGATCACACAATGGTAAATCAATACATGCAGTATAAGATGTTACGGTGTACGTATAATATAGATTAAACACATTTTAAATTTTGTACAACCCTTATGAGCACAGCCGTTGGAACAATCCTATAACATCCGAAAGTGTGAATAAACTATACGATGTATTCAAAATGCTTCATAGTGTATTCGTTAAATAATATGCGCATCTTTCTTCTGTAAACTATAGCATATCTCGTGAGCGTCTGTTTACACACATCTCATCAATGTGTCATATACTATGTGCATATGTAATTGTAATTCGCAATCTGTAGCGTAGGGAGTGTAAGCATAATTTAATTATCCTGAAATACTGGGATTAGAAGTTGGCAGTAGGCTAATGTATTTCTTTGACAGCGTTGTAAGTGTTGTACTTAAAATTTTTTCATAAAACCTCATAACAACTAACTGTTGTCCGGTGAGAGACTTGCATCTAAAACCAGGGTGTTGTGCATCCGTTAAATATTTCCGAAAGTCAAGGCATACTGATGTCCCTCGTCACTGGATTTACTCCACGAACTCACACTAACTATCTTACCAGGTCCATGAAAAACATTAAGACCACAAAATGTTTGCTGCAAAATATACTGTTTCCTAAATTCCAAGGTGTGAAAAATACATCTATGCCTTTAGTGAATGGAAGAAAATTTTCCCAAGTAAAAAAAAAAACCTGTACTTTGAAACTAATCCGTCAACATAATCAGTAGAATGGTTCTCTTTCCAGGTCACAATTCCTTAGTCTCCAATAAGTTGCGAAGTACTTCACCACGAGCAGAAGTTGTAGCCTGCATGTCAATCACTTAGGTCCATTATCACAAGGGCAATAATTCACTTATGTAGTGAAAGGCGGAATTCACTTGGCAGCAACTGAAGTAGGTCAGGTAAAGTTGTGTGTAACTAACTGCTGAGACAAATGAGGTCCATAAACGCCCACTTGCTATTGTTATTTACAGCACACTGTCGCGAACAAACACTTCAACTGCATTTACGTTAATGTTCTAAAATAGTAGTATCTAAAAATTCCTTCGGAATTTTTGTTGTTTGCTAAATTGAACTAGACGTATATGAATTCACAGGCCCGTGGTATTCACATATCCCGTATAGAATTGTAAGGTATGGCGAGTATTTGTAATATAATTTGCGAACTCCTCTAAAACGGTAAACCATTACAATGACTTTCGTGTTTATTTTGTAAAAGTGTTTGTAAATATTAAACTAGACGCATGCAATCACAAGCCGGCTGCTTCCACATCTGTAACATAGAACAGCGAAGAAGGTCTAGTAGTATTTGGTGTAGCTGTTACTGCCCAGTAGCTTCTTTAGACGTAGAACGCGCTGACTCGGATTTGTCTTTCTCATGATCCCCTAGATGCTGACATGGTATCCTAGATGTTTGTAGTATCATGGGTGGTCAGTCGATTAGATAGATAGATCACCAGATTGACAATCACTCTCGGAAACATATGACCACGATGTTCAACTGCAAGGAAGCTCCGACAGAAGGATCGCAAATACCTGAAAATATTGTAAACCCAAAAAATGCATGAAATTGCTGTTACAAGCATGATAAAAAATATGATACGGTCTATTAACACTGTAGGTCTCATGTAAGTATCACTTAAATCTTTGATTCCCAAATATCTTTTACCTACATGAATAGTTGTATGGATCCATAAGATTTAAAAAAAATAGCTACACCAAGGCAGTATAGTGTTAAAGTAAATTTAGTGTTAACACATGTTATTATTAGTAAGCCGCCGTAGTGTAGCGGCTAGAGCTCGTCTTATGATCTCAAGGTCGTGGGTGCAGATTCTGTTGGAGCCGTTCATTTTTTTTAAAACGATCTTGGCTTTCAGGTCGACCCACCTCAAATGGGTACTAGGTGAGGTCCCAGGAAGTAAAGGCGGCCGGCATGATTTTGCCCACATCATCCACCGAGTACCACCAGTTGGTCTCAGAAAATATAGATTTAGACCTATATGCCCAAAACTCCTGAAGGCGTGGAAAAGGGTCTTTTCTGAATGCTCAGTAGGCCTAAATGTGTGCAAAGGGACCCTTCACTTGCTTTACAGATTATTATAACACAGTACCTTCTGCGAAACCACCAAGTCGTCTTGTCTCTGGCCGAAAGAAAAACACCATCCGGTAATTTCATGCAGCAGGGAACCAGCCCTGAGCTTCATGAACTCAGGTGGGCCCACCTCCGAAAGTGTCTAGGAATAGTGGGCCGAAACGCTCGTTGACGAGGATAATTTCTACTGACGACTGGTAGATCCCTGCTGTACTTGCTCCCTGTGAGTTTATTCCTAACAGCTACGTGGGAAAGACAGTGTTTAAACAGGACATATCATGTAAGGAGTGACCAGTAAAGGCTTGACTGAGTGGGACTGAAGGACTGTCGTCTGTGGATTAAGGATTTTGACAGCAGTTTCCTAATCCCGACATAATTATGGTCATTAATAACATGTGCCATGCCTTGGCAGTTGTCATGTTTCGCCATCGCAGACGATCATCACAATAATGTGATAGTTTCCTGTTCTTGTCCCATACCATCCACATTGCTAATCTATATCCATATTTTTATTATTTTTTGCCTTCCTCTTGCTTTTGTTTTCATCATTATTCTTCCAAGTCGTTCCCAAGATGTTTTGTCCATTCTTTTTCATAACAAGTCCGGAAAAAAAATTCCGACAGTCTTTGTCGAATTATTTTGCAGTAGACCGCTATAATTTAATTTTGAAATTGTCATGAAAAGTTTTCAAAGAAGGGATATATTTAAATTAAATTAAATGAATAATATACATACATATAAAATAAACAGATAAAGAATAGGGGGAGGGGGGGGCCACAAGCTAGTCTTCACTGGACAAAAGGCCCAACCAAAGCCAAGCATAAATAATAACCATATTCACAAAGTGCGAAAAGTAACAGCGTAGAATGGTTAGAATATAAGCTAAAATCTGATGTAATTATGAGGTGACAACAGCTGTGAGCGTATGTAACTTTTCTCTAGTGTGTATAACACATGGAGGCTTTAACGAAATCATTACTGCGTTATCAGTGAGTTGCATCTTGTGTCATGTCGTTTTAGATTTGATAAACGGACAAACAGGTGGGATGGCAGAAGAAGCCGGAGAAAGAGGCGGAGAGTGAGAAGTACGAGAAGAGCGAGGTCAAGAGAAAGAGAGAGATAGAGAGGCCATGGGAGATACATATAAATTAGGAAATAAAAAAATGGAGACAAAGAGAGAGGGAGAAATAGATTATTACGGCGGGACAAATAGTAAGGGAGGAAGACAAGGAGAAACAGATAGCCAGGTGGGGGGAGAGATAAAGAACAACAGAGAGAGAGAGAGAGAGTGTGAGACACAAAGAACAATTGTTATAGTGAAAGAGAGAATGAGAGAGAGAGAGAGAGAGAGAGAGAGAGAGAGAGAGAGAGAGGGGTGGATCAAAAAAATTAGATGTGTGAGGGAAAACTAATATTGAGAGATAATAATTAAAGATACGAGAGGAAGAATAAGGAAACGAGAAAGGCATAAACGGAGAGATAGAGATGCGTATCGCGAGACAATATAGAGCCAGAGAGAGCTGGAGAAGTGTCTAAAGTAAGAGAGAGCTAAATTGTCTGCGATAATACATAGAGATAATACACAGAGAGAGAGAGAGAGAGAGAGAGAGAGAGAGAGAGAGAGAGAGAGAGAGAGAGAGAGAGAGAAAGGTCGCCACATATGTGACCATTGTCTTGCTTTCTCTTCCTCTGTTCACGGGAGGACTAAAGCCAGATGTGAACGTTAATATCCAGTCATCGTCTGCCCCTGAAACTCCATGGACGAGTTAATCTCCCTTATGCCAGGCAGCGCTGCATCCATCAAGGTCACGTGTCATTACATTCTGACTCTAATGTTAACTAAAAAAAAAAAAATGCTTCAAAAACTATAGTTGACTACATAAATGATAACACGATGTTTATTTAAAATGTATAAGGAGAGGGAAGTGAATTGAATGCATTAAACTCGAAGAGAGCAGACATCTTTCATGTTTCAACATGAACATATGAGTGGTAGCCACTTTAAACTCACTAAATCTGGTAAGCTTGTTACATTATTATTGCAGCAGCAATCTGCTACCCACGCTGAACTGCAGAGTAAATTACCTAGTTTAGCTGTAATGGGTAACATAATTATAAATGAGGGTACCTTTATTATGACTTCATTAATGATTAGATGGGATTTTGCGGTTTTTGCTCTTTTACTTCTAACTGTGCCCTTAAAAGGGATGTTGGCACGTCGTGCTGTCAGATTTCAGAAGAAGGAGAAGAAGAAACATGAGAAGGAAGAGGAGTAGGATGAGGAGGAGGAGAAGGAGATGGAGAATAAAAGGATATGGATAATAAGGAAAATAAAGGGAGAAAAGGAGAATCAAAAGAAAGAGTAGGAGACAATTACGAAGGGGAAGGAAGAGCAAAAGGAAAAGGTTAAGTAAGAGGTGGAAGGCAGAATAGGAGGAAGAAGAGGGTGGAGAATAAAAAGTATGAAAAGAAAAATGCTGGCTATATAGTGGCCTACCCGCCTGGTAGAATACTTCAGCTGCGAAAACCAACTAGGTATGTTAAAAATTGCTTTGAAAATCTTTTTGAAAGGTGGAGAAAATCACGGTTCATGCTTCGTTCCAAGCATCGCTTCAGAGATTTCGG